AAGAGACCAACTTGCAGGTTAAAACATTTCTGCCTTTCAATTCGATTCGCAGAGATCATGATACACATAACCTGGTTCCTTCTGTAACTTCATGAACCACCATCAGTCCATCTACACAGCTTGAAAAATACATGCATCTCACTGCTCAAATTTAACATGTCCGTGCGGTCAAGATTTCCATTCAGTCACATGAGACCTAAAAACAACGCAGTGCATTTGGCCTTGACAGATAGAAGCTCATCCTGCAGATGCCATAATAACAGCAGCAGCCATCTGAATAAAGTTTTAATGGACCTTTAAATACTCCAGTGGTGCCATGCACATGTTAGCAGGACATGAGATATAGGGCACAGAGTAATATAGGCCAGGGGAAAGGAGAACGGGTGAGGGGGGTGGATACTTTACAAGCTAAATTAAACAGACAACTGTTACAGGCAGGGCTTTAGCTGCCTATTATAGCTTCTCCTTGGAGACTGTGATGCATCTCCAGCACTACACAAAACCACTCATGACCACAAATGGAGCTGGCTTTTGGCATGATTTCAAGGCTCACGTGCGCTCCGGGGTAATGGGACTGCTCGGGTCAAAACACATATGATGACGGATAAACTGAGAAAGATGTGAGCATAGGAGAAGTGCAGAACATCAAACAGAGGAATACTTCAGATGTATTTACTAAGTCGGTCAATAAATCAAAGCCAAGTGAGCCAAGTTACACACGACGGCCAAACACACGATGACTAATGATTATAGCAGTACGCCATATTGTATATCATAATGTAAAGTTGACATCTACTGTTGCACTCTAAATTGGTGGGCGCTCATGTCCTCCACTCAGCACATAACATGCACACATACAAAAATAAAGAACAGAGCATGATTTGAATACTTTTGTGATTTCATTTCGAATTGCTTGTTTTATTTTGTTTTAGCTGTGTGTGTGTGTGTGTGGCTCTGTTGATGGCAATATGAGTCAGTCGAGCCACCATATTGGTTCAGGTAGAAACATCAAAATTAACTGTAAAACTCCACCAGCTCTCCATAGAATTCTGCTTTGTGCAGTGCAGTGGTTTATGATGAAACAATCCACAAAAGTAATGATTTTCACAACAACATCTGATGCACTTTGTGTCGACTTAATTGTTCAATTTTAGCACGCCAACGCCCCTAATAAGAGAGTAAACATCTGCTAAAAATCTGGCATCGTCACTGTAAGGGTGTTAGTATTCTCATGTTTACATGTAGCTCAAAGTGTGCAACAGTCACACTGCAGGAAGTGCAATGTAAAGTAAAGCAAAATAACTCAAACACATCATGCAACAACTTTTTTTGCTGCTTGACACAAAAAGAAAACTTGCACGGATCTCCTTTTCCACGTCTAATCTACCAGAGAAGACATCATTCAAGGGTTCTTGGATGCAGTCTTTTACTGTCTTTTTTTTTTTTTTGCAAGACACAGTGTTTGTTGACTCTGCGTGTGCACAGCAAAATTACTAAGAAACAGGAGAGAAGGGACTGAAAAGGAAGGCTTGGCTATAAAAAGAAGTGCAACGTCAGTAATGTGGAAACATTTCGACTACAGAGAGAATGATGTTGAGGAAAAACAGGTACTCTGTCTCCAACTTCTCGCAACTGTTGCCACAATGTGTTTGTCTGACCATTTAAATCAGCACCGCAAAGCTGTATGCTGAGCGCAAAGTCACATCTGAATGCCATCCGAAGCAGAAAAACTATTTTGGATGCCTTTGCCAGTGTTAGACCAGTTGAGAACTGCTTTTTTCAAATATTTGTTTTTAAATTTTTGATTAGAGATTCATTCCCCTCCAAAATCCCCCCAATCATTTGAGAATGACTAATTCTTTCCAAATAGAGTTATTCAACTCATTTGGTGAAGATTCCTGTATTTTCTTCTTATCGCAGAAAAACTAAATATTGCAATGTCAGTTTTTTCCAATGTTTATTTGGTCTATTTCACATGATACTATGGTTGTAAAGTCTTAGTCCCTGGTGATTCTTCAACTTGTCGTTCCTCCAGTTGGATGTTGTTTATCATATCCATCCAACTTAAGCCAAGTCGTGTGTAGTAAACATATAAAAAGTCAGTTACCTGTCTCAAAAATATTTGCACTGGTAATTATTATAAAGGTTATTTGCTGAGGCGTCCATCTACATGTGAATAATACTACAAACATTCAAGCTATTTTAATAAATGCATCGTGTTTGGCACGATAAGTCGAGAGTCTGTTCCATAAAAGTATCAGATGCCAACTGTACAAAATCACTTACTAGAACACATCAAACTGAAGAATTCCTGCCTCAAGTTATTGGTTCTCTTGTTAAATGAGTCATTTCCATCTCACGCACAGCATCGCTGGTCATCTGAACTTCTAATCATTCATCAGTCATCACGACTGCTTTCCCTCCCTAAATGTGAGGTACAGCTCAAGTGAAAGCCGGCGAGGAGTTTATTTAGCTAAAAATAACTAAACAAAGACCATCTGGAGGGCTGGTATGCTGTAGGTCGATGCCAAAGAAAACATGTTTAAAATGATCAACATGAAACACTTGCATAATTTCAGAAGGAATTACTCTCCAAAAAGTCGTACACTGAACTATTAGCTTCTGTACTCTGTGCTCTCTGAATAACTCCTGTTATGCCCTTGTGTTCCCAGCGCTCCATGATTTACTGAGTGGCAGGTCCAGCTTTTTACTCGACTTCAGATGGGGAAAAAATTGAGCGTGTCTGCCACATGCGTAGAGCAGAGACTGCTCTGACAGTGTATCATTGAGTTTAGCTGTTAACCGAGGTCCTTTAAAAGAGTTTAATGTACAACAACAACAAATGGGGTCGACAGATGGTCAGAGGAGTTTCCAAACGTGAGAGTGGCTCAGAATAGCTCGTGGCCTGCTTCCACCGGCCCTCCTGCGTCAGGGCTCGAGCAACCAACCCTGACGTGAGGGTTTTCCATCAGCAGCGCCAGCATGCAGCTCCAGTTGACACAACAGCAGCCCGGCACCCTGCTGTGAGGCCGGTCTCGGTCCCGTGTTTTCACTCTATGTTTTAGAGCAGGGTGGGGCAGGGGGGCCATAGATCCCCCCCACCCCACCCCACCCTTGAGGATGCAGTCGGGCAAACCAGCTGGTTTCCATTAGCATACCTCTTCTGGGGAATGGCTCATGTGGGCAGACACATGAGGAAGATAAACGATGCGATTGGTCAAGCAGACTAGACCCTCTCTCAGAGCGGAGCCAGATCATCTTTGATTATGGTGATTCTTCAGCTCTTCCCGAAACTTTAGGACAAACACACTCCATGATGACAATAACTCACGGCAGACAGTTTCTTTTTTAATCAAAGGTCACAATCTTGGGTCTCTATACTCCTCATGCATATTTAAGGTCATTCAGCCTGTAAACAGTCTCGTAAGGTTGCAATTTGGGCACCACACCTTTATAGTCCTGTGTGGCTTTTCAGTTTTTGGTAATTATGAGAACTTCCCTTCTAGTTTTTTGCTGTTGGAATCAGGTGAAAATACTAAAAGAGTAACCACAAAAAAAAACCTAACATGTCCAAACTAGAAGGGAATAATTCAATATTGTAGGAGAATACTCTTAACCGACTTTTTGTCAAGAGTTAGGAGGGGATCTATTTGGTGCTAGAAGACATTTAGCATCAAGACTGAAACAGGAGGAAACAGCCACAGCAACTCCATCCTGAATGACGGTAATGAAATCTGCCTACTTGCACCTCTAAAGATCGTTACAGCGATTGTCGGCCCATAAGCAACATCAAAGTGTCATCTCATGCGGCACCTTTAGTGCCTGAACTATCCTACAAAGCAACAATGCAAAGTTTATCCCCAAAGCAACATCTGGCCTGATAGATGGCACTTAAAGCACAAGTGTGTTTATCTCCCAGCCAAAGAGATGCCACAGATATGTGGCAGCTACAAGCTACGACTGAGCGATAATTCACTCGCCCACCCACAAACCTAAAGATGTTTGGCCCAAGCGCTGAAATGTCCATGGGCGGAAACACTACTTTACATGACTTACCCTCCTCTTAATGTTACGTGTGTTTCAACTTGGATGGGAAGAAGTGAACATTAAGTTTAAAATGTTAGATTCTTCCCACATGCAAAACTGTCCAGGATTATCAAGGAGTCTGGATAAACACATGGCTGACTTCCACAAATAAACCTCGATAACTGTGACAGGCGTGTCGTGTTGAATAAAGCAGCTTACAGCTACAATTCTTCCTTGTGCTACGCGCTCATTATAGTCTGAATAGTTGAAGGAAGAGAGGCAGGCATGGTAATGACAGACCCCCCCACCTCGGTTGGCAGCTCTGCCTCCCACAGTGAAAGCGCCTGGAGATTGCCGTTAAGAATGCCAGTGAAATTTACAGGGCTGCAGAGGGCCTCTGTATGAGAGGAGGTGAAACACGGATGGTGCCCTCAGGACGAGGACCCTCTCTATGGCTACAAGACTAAATCACAGAGGAGCACAATAGAGGGACTATGAGATGACAAAGGAGACTCTGTTTCCTGTTTCTGTCAGTTTCTGCAGACGCACACTTGAGCAGCATGGTTTCAGGAACCATCAAGCGCCTGACTGTTACCTTTAACCTGAACCCAGCAGGGTGACACAAATGGCTTCCCAGCGGATGCCTGTTGATCGGCAGCCTTTCAGCTACAGCAGCCAGTTTTTTACAGCTATGGTGCTTCCTTTATCTTGACATTTTAATTTTTGCGCTTGTTTTCTGATCTGTCTAAACATTTCAGCTGGAAATGTCTGGACTTTTAATGCTTAAACCAAAAAAACTCCCTAAATAAATAAGGACAGACCACATAAGCAAATAACTCATATCACAAATCAACACAGCAGGGGGAGAGTGTCATGGGAAAGTTACAGAGGGATCAGATGAGGACACAAGGGAACACATGGACAACCCAGCGCAAACACAGCCAGCAGCGGTCAACCGCACAGTCCAAACTCACCTTAACGTAGGCAGTGTAGCGCTGGCACTGCTCCCTGTTGATGTCCAGGCTGAGCTGCTGGCTCATCTGGCTGACCTGAGATCCGCTCTGGGCAAAGTAAATCCGGGAAGGCTGGCTCTTCTGTCGCTTATCCACATCAGCAGTCAAGTTGTACAGCAACTCTGAGAAGAGACACAAACGCTGTTACACATAATATCGACTGACAGTGGTGGTTCTCTGTTCTTGAGAAACACTTGGAGTATGCAGGTTTGGTTTTCTGGTAATTGCCATTAAAACATGGGAACAAATAAATTATCGCTCGTTGCAGTCAAATTAACACGGGGGAAGATGGGAACATTTTTTTGGTCAAATCACTGGATATTACTTTAACTTCACAAGGGCCCTTTGTTCAGTGTTGTGCAATGAAAACAAATGCAAGTAGATTTTGTGCCATTTAGATTTGCTTCCATGATGGACACTGACTTATCCAACAATCATGACTTTCATCTAGACACAAGACAGAGAATTTATATTTAGAGCAACCTTTCATTAACAAGCTAGACGAAGATGTAAAGAAGGGATCAACAGCATAAGCTTTTTTTTATTAGTGTTGGATCATGCTGGATTGTCTACTGGCAAACTTTGCTTAAGCATAAAAACAGGCTTTTGTCTTGGTATTTCTATTGCTTAAAGGTGAACTGACAAAATGATTAACAAAAAAAGAAATGAATTTTCCAGTTGGTGGGGCAAGACAAGTATTACTATTAAAAAAAAAAACATTGTAATAACAACATTCTCCGCCCAGCTTTAGTGACGTTGAGACAGAACAACATCAAATCTGTTTTAAATTCAGAAATCATAAGCACAAAGTCAAACATTACCAACGTTTCCATTTCCGTTGGCCATTTAGGATCCATTCCTCTGAATGAATCAGCCTCATTCTGTAGTAATTTCTCCTAGAGGGTGTCATACTGGTAAAACAGTGGGAGGGGTGGTAAACACACCCTAGTCGGACCAAAGCCTACTGTTTCCGTCGTCCAACTGAGCGAACGCCATGAGCTCACTCCAGAGGAGGCACAGGAAGGCTTCATTATGGGAGTCACCAAACACATGGTGCCGCACTTTCCACGGCGTTCGCCAGACGGCTAAACAGAGAGGCTTTATTCCTGCGAGCCAGGACATAGTCATTATGTAACAACAGGGCTCCTGCTCCCCTGGGGGGGCTGTGAATGACCACACCCAAACACTGGAGAAGGACGGCACCTCAGCCCTAAACAGCCACCGCACCCCTGAGTGAGAAGTTAGCATGGCTGAAGGGTAAACCATCGGCCAGACTGACAGTCAGCCATGGGCCAAGGGCTGCGGTAAGTCAGCATGATCATGTTTACAAGTTTTCCATATTTAATTGACCACTAGAAGTCAAAGGAGTATGAATTTCATTTTCTCACAACACAACAGGACCAGAATGTATCTGCAGGGGTTTGACAGTGACGGTGATCAACACAAGGGACACATACCTACTAGATCTATAACTTTTCAGATGCACTTTCAGTGGCATCAAGAAATGTTGGTTTCCAAGAAATAGTTACCCTCCTTATAAGACCATAGCTTGTTGTTAACTGTTTGTTTGGACCTCTAATTTTAGACATGCTGTATTTGTTTCGCTGTGGAGAGAACGCGGCCCCCAAGCTTCCATTCCTCATGCTAAGCTAAGCCTATCACCTCCTCTCTCTAGCTTCATACTTCACGCACAGACATGAGAATGCTATTAATCTTCTCTGTAATTCTTGGCAAGAAAGCAAAGATGCATATTTACCAGCAGGTTAAACTATTATTTCAAGTAAGAAAAGCTAAAATATCAATCAAGTATTCTGTATCAAGATGTACATTTTTATTCTCTCCACTGTGATTTAACCCCTTCAAATGCCCAAACTTGTTGGTGGGTTTGAAAAGCATGTTATATCTTTTAAACTGCCAAAATGACCCAATTTTTCAGAGCTAGAAACTGTAAAAGTAACAACAAAAGTAAACCAAATTTTAACTTTCTAACAGTACCTTGACTACTCCTGTGTGATGTGCCGTTTGGTCAGGAAAATTACCCAAATCTGCACTTGTGATATTTCGTCAAAATCACATTATTTATATGTCCCATTTTTTAAAAATGTGCCAAAAAGCCTTTGTACTACCTCTAAGAAGCTAAGATCAATATTCACATGACAAAAATTAAGGGACATTCTGGCTGAACTGCAGGCTGTGTTTGCGCAGAGCAGAAAGGAGACACTATTGGTAAAACCTGTGGGCACTTGAAAAAATGTTGTATATGTTGATTTCAGTTTTACTGTACTCTAAGAAATTCAAATTTCACTTTTTCTTTCATGATTTATAATATCTGTTGAGTTCTCTCTGCTTCTAGCCATGGTTGGGTTGTTTTCATAGGGGTGCAGGACTTTACACAGCTGTAAAAATGAGCCTTAGTGAGGAAAAGTGTGACAGGAGCAAAGAAAATAGGGGACTGCTTGGGGTTCAGAAGGTTAAATCACGGGGACAGAGGGGTGAGAGCTGTGGAATCTGTATCACATCAGTCACAAGTTTCACTCATCACCTATTTGTCCAGGCAGCTGTCGTCCCCGGAAGCGCATGCAGACAGTGACGTTGAAGCAGTTTAGGTTCTGGTGGCCCTCGTGGCACTGCGGCACAGAGATGTTGATGGAGACAGGGAGGAAGATGGAGACATCCACTGTAATAACAGGCCGGGTCCTGCAACCACACGAACAGGAACGCAAGTGTGGGAGAGACTGAGCATTAAAACGACCCCAAAGTAGAAACAAATGCTACTTTGCATTGGAGAATCATCCCATTACTCACCTCAGCAGCACCACGCTATCTGCCATAAAAGCTCCGATGGTGACATCTGCAACAATAACACGATTGTTTTGGAAATCCATAAAGATATCATATTAATGCAACATCTGCTGAGAGCACAGTTTACACCTGCAAAATCCAAGACAATGCACAGAGGTCTTAAGCTGTCATGCTGGCTCAGTCTGACTGTCAGCTGTGGAATGCAGTAAACAAGATGCCTCAATCACGAGTCTGAAACTCTGCTATTGCCTGAGAGTAAGAGGCTAAAAACCATGAGGGTGAAAAAATCTAATATTTAACAAGTTTTTTCAGAAAATCTTCCAAATCCCTCAGCTAGTCACGTATGACCATACCTGCATATCCATTGCCATCCATGTCCACATTGCCAGAGATGGACTGGCCAAACATCTGCAGACCAGGGTTTACACTGCGCCCAGACAGTTTCTGGAACAGATGATACCAGCCTTTGAATAACACATGGGAGCCAACATGGAAAAATAGAGCACAGTGTGTGATTTGTTTTTGCCATGCATTTGTTTTTCATAGAGAGATGATCAAATTAAAGGGGTGGTCGGGGTCAGTTCAGATGTATCTGTGAGGACAGCAGGACAGAAACAAGCAAGCACTTCGGCGTTTATGTGAAAAAAGCTGGAAAAAACAAGGTAACTTGTGAACATGGATGAAAACAGATGAAGACTTGCAGTTTTGTTCCATGAGAGCTGCAGTTTACAAAACTGTTGTTCGATCACTCAGTCAAACTTTATTTGCATAACTTACACAAGGCTTAGTGCAGTTCAAAGTGCTATAAATAAAGCTAGTTTCAAAACTAGATCCAGCTAAAGTGTTTAAACAAAAAAACATAAAGAAAAACTAGATTCTGAACTTAACAGAATTGATTTTAAAGGCAAAGAAATTGAATAAAAAGGAAAAGATTCAACAGAACATGAATAAAATGAAGTACGAAATGTCTGTAGACCATATCAAAAGCCAGACTGGAGAGGTAGGTTTTAAGTTTACATTTAAAGATTTCATCACTCGCAGCTGCTCTCTGGCCCTCAGGCAGACTACACCAGCGGCTTGGAGCGTAAACGCTAAAAGCTGCCTGTGTTTAACTTTGTTAGGTTTGAGTTTCTTATAGCAAGTCCTGTAATGGATGGCTGTCTCAGAATATAGAAAAGAAATCCCCCAAAACACGCTTTTTTTTCACACACAAGACTGATGACAGAAATGCTACATGAGATTACACTGAGGCGGTGGAACAGGGGAGGAGCCTGAACATGAGATCACAACTTTGGCTCCATCCATGAAGCTGAGAGGTTTTAGTGATGGTACCATGAAGTCGGTACAACACCAGCTGTGCCAATATTCTTTAAAAAAAAACAAAAACATTCAAATCTTGCTTTCTGAATTTCCTAAACTCTACAAGGAAAAAGCAGTTACTTGCAGAATGTTTTCAGCCTTTTTAAGTGAATATTTTACTGTGTGTTTATGTTTTTAGTGCTGTATTTATGGGCCTTGTGTTTTATGCGTGGTAAAGGTATGCATGTCACTGTTGTATAACCAACTGCCCCAGTGGGGACAACTAAAGTTGGGTGATTGATTGATTGATCCCAGTGGTGAACATGAACTACTGGGGTTCAAAGTGTGATTATTTTTGCTTGAAGATGCTTTGTAGTCTCTTATATTTATTTTTAAAAAAAAGAAGCCCATGAGGAACCGGTTGTGGCTTATTCAAGTCTGCGTGGGTCTAAAAATGCATTCCCAAGGCTACGATACCACCTGCGACTTTACAACACATTACTCAGCTACTTCAACAGCTACTTGCATCTGCACACATTCAAAGCCTGGTCTTCATCAAAATTTGAAAGCTATAAAGCCACTAATAAATGTAGAAACGAGGAACAAGCAGAACACAATATTGCTTGTCATCGGAGGGAAAGATGTTTTGCAATAGTTCCTACCATGGAGTATTTTCTGGTGATTCCTGCGGCGTCCCCGTGGTAGATATAGACAGCTCCTGCATAGTCATCCTCTTTAGGAGCTCCTATGGCTACATCTAAAGGGGACAAATAAAGCACAAAAAGCGCCTCTGTGAAAAGTCGGCACATGAATGAACGAGCACATAAATGAATGAGTGTGTTTGTGAATGCGCACAAAAGCTTCCATTAACCCTCTGTTTACTTTCAGCTGGCCTGTGCCTGGGAAACAAGCTCCACAAGTAAGACTCGTAATAGACAATTAAGTGTTGTTAGTGGCTATAAAACTTGTGCGACCTCTGAGAAAGTGGAAACAAGACTATAAAGTGCTGGCAAGGGCACTGAAACACCCTCGCCTTAGCCCATTCCATCAGAAAGTCCATATATAAACCTTCTTTCAAAAACCAAAACACTTCCATGCCATGTGGTGCAGCATACCAAGGCAGAAATGGTAAAACGAATTACTTAAAAAGTGTTACACAATAATTATTTCATTATACGGAGATAGAGTTCAAGTCCTTTGTCAAAGTCAAAGTAGCCGCATGTGTATTTCTACAGTAGTGCTTTCAAATTAAATGGTAGCAGTTAAGTTGTAAATAATCATGTGTCAGTCAGCGGGCACGTCTGGCTCTTTCCGCAATCCAAGAGTGACGAGTTACAAGATGAGTTATACTCCCCAGCTGCCATCTTTCTCTGCGCTCACACATGCTGTGCCAGGCTGCAAGCCTCGAGGCGTATCTCACACGGAGATGAAACCAGGCAGAAGCTTCCAGCCTTGAGTGTGAGGCGGACGCCAAGTCGAGCCCTCGGAGCCAGGCCGAGCGAGCGCCAGGAAAACAGACAGCGTAAATGTATGTCTGTGTGTGTGGATAATTTGGTTTGTGCCTGGATGACTCTGTTGCACACAAGGGTGAGAGAGGGCAATATTTTCTACAGATCCCTTCCACCACAGGGTAATCGCAACAAAATGTCTGGGAAAATGAAGGGTTTTTTTTGCACCTACTGAGCATCTCAACCATCGTTTGCTTGTGGGTTGAAGAATATAAAGTGTGCGGCTTTATTATTGACAGAGATGACAGAGGAAATGTCTTTGTTTCATGAATCCAGAAGCAATGCGCCACTCTAATTGCGCTGAATGCCATTGCTGAGTGGTTGCCATTCTTTGGATTGCAGATTCATAGACCACTGGAGGGCCATTAAAAAAACTTGTACACCACCCCCAGCTCTGTTGTGACCTCTCACTGGTGATGAATGAGAGGTCGCATAGTAGCATATCAGTGACAAGATCTTTTCCCATTTTAACTTCCAAGGTTATATTTTTGGAATATTGTTTAAAGTCTCTCTCTGGTCATTGATTAAACCCCTAAAACCTCATTTCTATGTATCCAAGTTACATATTTAGAAGTATTTTTCCATGACAATAATCCCTGACTGTTTTCAAAAGCTTTCAATTAGAATGCACTGATCTACGTCTCTCTCTGCCGTTGCCCACTCGCTGCAGCTTAAGCACTCCAGCTCCAACTACAACTCTGCTCAAACACTGTAAAACTACTCTTTGGTATACAATGGAGAGTGAAAATATTGGAGTTATTCAGCCATACATGTTTAAAAAAAAAGAGGAATCACACATTGAAAATTGACAGCATTGGTTTCTGAGGTGTAAAATCTGGATCTATGTATTTTAAGACTGTCATCGGTACACTACTGTACTGTTTCAAGACAGAAATGCTCAATCATGGCATTGACTGCTTAATTTGCTCCTAATATGTCTTCCAGCATAAAAAACACCATATGGGCACATTAACAAGGTTTTTTTTGTTTTGTTTTGTTTTGTTTTTTAAAAGATTTTTCACCTAAGGGGGTCTTTAAGCATGCAAAATGTAAAACTATTGACAATTTCACTAAGAATATCAGGAAAACCTTTTTACATACAGTATTTTGATTATTCTGCTGTCCTGTACCAGTGATCATCTCATGACTTCTTGAAGGAGTCTGAATTGGGAACCACAAGTTTAAATATTTCTATGTCTCAGTCTAGTTATTTATAATGAAATATAATCATATAATAAAAATGTATAAAAATGTTTATGTCTGGAAGATTCCTGTAATAATAACACTTGAAGTCCATATTTCTATTACAAATGAGCAAACTTCATATGCTGATGAAGACCATGTGATACAGTTTCAACACTACTGTGTCTTCATCAGAGCCAACATATTTGACACAGTCGTGTTGAAACGTTCGTCTGTTTGCACAATTAAAGCCTGTGAATAAATCAGTCTGCTCCAGTCC